CACTTGTCTGTCCTATCAAATAAAGGCTTAAAAATGCCCAAAAAAATATCTTTAAATTAAAAATTTTAGAAATCAGTGAAATTCCTACTGAACTGTGACACCACTGTGTCATATAGAAACTGAACTGTGTGAACAGTTACACCCCTAATTTTCACTGTTTTGATACTTGTTAAAATGCTTATTAAGAGAAAGGGAGATGTCTCTCAACAGTTAAATCTTTACCATCTTTACTGCTCTTTACAATGTAATGATGGTCTGATTATCCTAGTGAAATTATAAAAGTTATCTACCATTTTCTCTTTTGATCTTCTGATTTCTTTTTATGAATAAAGTTTTCTTCTTAAGATGTAAACATCTCATTTAGTTTTAGTTTAGTTTTAATTTAGTCTTTTTCTAAATTCAACAACTCAAATACTCACAAGGAGAACAAAACAAACAATATTAAGTCATAACTTGTAAAGCAGAGACAAAAAGGTGCAGGCTGAAGCTTTAGTTTAATGCACCCTCCCTCTTTACATTCATTGTGTTGTACTGTTAGATTTTAGATTTAAACACTGAAAATATAAGAAACCTTGTGGGTAGTAGCAGTTGTGATAATATTAATAGTTATTTTTATTATTTAAGGAGACAAAACTAGAAAAAGTACTCCTCCAAAATTAAGAGTCAAAGAGGACCACATCTACACCTGTAGGACCACGTCTACACCTGTAAGACCACGTCTACACCTCTAAGACCAGCAGTCCTGAGTAAACTTCTGTTGTCTCTCTTTAATAAAGAAACACTGATACAACTCACCAAGAATTCAGCACTGAGTTCTTCAAGTGCAGAACGATGAGTTTGTGATCCTCAGTCAGGGAGAAGTCAAAGTTGTCTTTTCCTTGACTTCCTCTTCTTCCTGTGGAATTTTCAGTCTGCCTCCACTTAAAAACTCTGATTTGCTTTTCTCACAAGCTTCTCATCATCTTTTGGTTTTGCACTGTTTTTCTCTGGTTCCTCATTGAGGTGGACTCCACGTGAGCTCATACACAAGTCATCAGACCAGCTCATGAATAAGACTTGCTGGAAGATATTCTTCCTCTTCTTAAATAGAATTATACCTTCGTCAACTAACTTACTACGATAGTTTAAAGTTACTTTAGTTAAATAAAACTAGGTTGAGTTCTCTGAAATAAAAATAAGAAATTGAGATTAAAAAAAAAGAGAACTATCTGAAACAGTGTTACAAAACGTTGAAGAAGAGTACACTTGCAAGATAAATGTGACACTTTCTAATGTCACAATGGAGGGACAACTACGCAGGTTGATTTTAGCGCTGCTCATCGTGGACTATATTGCTGTCATTGTTCATTTTAGTCAAAACATACAGTTTGAAAACGAGGCGCGGCTCCAACTAGAAAACAATGTTTTGATGCATTGGATGTGCTGAATGTGCATATTAAGGCAGTACAGGAGGAGGTGCACATTAATAATCCTCCAGGACTGTAACATGCTCATGTTTAACCCAAACAATGTGTCATGTGACTGCAGTTGCTTCACATCCAGGTCGCAACACCTTCTCACCACAAACCAACCGCACCAGAGTTCCTTTGGAGCCAGACTGAGACCTTGCTGTGTTCACACCTGCCCAAACGAACTGCACTGTGGGGGCAAACCAACTGAGTTTGATTGAACTGAACCAAACAGGGCAGGTGTGAAAGCAGCCTAGGGTGTCTACTGTGCAAGACTAGGAGCCAATCGCTTTCCAAGTGTTTCGCTTTCAAGTGTTGTGTTGTTATACCTGTTACAAACGTCTTTAATCTTGCCTCTGACAAATACCACCCCCATATTACACAAAAAAAACACTATAACCAATAAAGTTAAAATAAACATTTTTCAGCGATGAAACCTAAACTGAAACAAGCAAACCCACCCTGGAAACTAAATGAAACTAAACTGAAGAACAAATAAATAAATAAATAAATAAAATAAAATTTAAAACAATTAAAAATTACAAAACTATAATGACTCTGCTATAGTTCAGAGGAAAAAGGTCAAAGCCACTCTAGGTCATAAAGTCAAAGTATCTGCTACAGTGCTTTTTGAAAACCGCACAACAGATGCTGACTGTGCAGATACAAATCTCACTTCCTTCTGCAGGGTTAAACATGAGACCACTCGTCAATTTTAGCAGTGATTTACTACATATGAGGAAATGTGACTTCACTGTCATCCTTCCTCTCTCTCCTTCTCAGCATTGCACTGAGACTGTATTCCTGTAAATGCAAAGGCAAACTTTATGTGGATAAAATTTGCAGAGGATAAAGAGTGGAACATGTACAAAGTTAACAGATCAATCCACAGAGGCAGGACGCGCCTCACATGACGGTTGGAAACTATCACTCATTTCAAGAGTTAACGTTCCCTCTTCAGACCCTGTTGGTTAGCAATATCTGTACTAGCCAATCCCACCTCTCATCTTTGTTCAACCTTTTTAGCTTCATCGTTAATCTTCTCTGAATGCTCGCTCAGATTCTGCTGTAAACCAAGTGTGGAGACAGAAACAACATAAAGCAAGAACAGCACCAAGGCTCCTGGAAAGTTCCTGGACCTTACAGACCACATCCCTTTATCTCTAGTTGCAAGTTTATTACTCTATTACCCAGCTTAACATAACAAAGTCAGATACTTTTAATTCAATAATAATGATCATAGTAATAAATCATTAAAAAAAAATCCATTAGCATCAGTCCCTTCTTCAGGAAATGCTTCTGGAAAAGTTTGTCACCTCAAATATTCCTTAAAGATTATATATAGTCATTTAGATTCTGCTATAAACCAAGTGTGGAGACAGTTTGTACAGCACCAACATGCCTGAGACAGATCTTACAGTGTCCACAGACCACTTCCCTTTATTTCTAGTTTCAAATTCAGTAATGTTATCACTCTATTACCCAACTTAAAATAATAAAGTTACTTTTAATTTCATAATGATAACAATAATGAGTCATTTAAAAAAAATATTTTCCATTAGCATTAGTCCTTCCTTGAAGAGAAACCTTAAAATTATAAATGTTATCAAATAATTTATACATCTTTAATTATTTAATCGAAAGATTGGAAGCTCTTTTGTTTTCTGCATCTTTTTATTTCATAAAATTTGACATAATCGGCAGTCATCATTAAGCAGACAAATAAATGAAAAAAAAAAACATGACAAACATCAAACAAAAAAAAGTTACAAAAGCAACAACAATGTTAAAAACCTCACCGTGTGTCCTTCATTAATGGCATTCATATTCATAAAGGCTCACAGCCAGAAGTTCCAAGTAAATTATTGATCACCTCTTGAAGTTTTCCAAACAAAAAAATGACAGAAACCAAAGGACTATAGATAAATATAACCACAGTCATGTCTTTTAAGAGTTAATCTATCTTAAAGTAAAAAATTGTGATATTTGGTCCAGAAATGGCTGAAAAAGTTTAAGATTTATTTTCCATATTTTCCAAAGTATACATTTCTTAGCAAATTATGTTATTGCAAAAATACTCAGATTTTTTTTTAAACAAATTGAAAATCAGGCATTTAATTAGTAGCAAAAGCTGAGTTAGTGAAGCTTAAAGTGAAACTTTCCAGCAGATCACACTGCTAAAACAGATGCATACATTTTCCGTCTTTAGTTTTGCATGTAGGGCAGTTTGGTGAGTAATCTTTGAATTGTGTGCCTATTTACAGGAGTGAGATAGTTTAGGGATAACTTGACAATGAATTTCTTTGATTTTGCTACTTGTAAATAAGCCACGTATACCTACAAATGTTTTGCCAGGTATTTAAATCTAAAACCAACCTAGATTAGATTATTGAACAACTTTAACTGCATGTTTTTGTGAAGCAAACCTTTGAATTGTTTTATAACCATGTTTGTTAATTTGCATGTATTGAGTGATGCTTTATAAATATAAGAGAGTCCAAAGGCATATATCTTAAAATATATTTGTTAAGAGTTTTAAAAATGCTGCAGATACATAACATGAAAATTAAATGTTAGGAGAACATTTACTCTTAAAACATTTATTCTTCCTAATAGAGATAATAATAGAGTAGACCATTTGCACAAATCCATTTTGATCTTATCTGAAAGATGGTTTAAGGTTTCTTTTGAAGAGATTATCTAAATGCAAAGTGATATTTATTTAAAGCCTCCTGGTGTCCAGAGGAAAGGACACTTTGTGTGTGATATGTAAAGAAGCTTAGTTTTAAAAGCAAATCCTTTAATTTCAGCCATCACTGTGGTAGAAGCTGTCATGCTTCTGTTTGTTTGTAAACCGGCAACTCACCAAATTAATTTTTGATAATAAAATTTGCAACTTTGAAGTTTTTCTTTAACCGTAATAATATTTGTAATACATTAACGAGTCACATTGTGTTTTGTCATTGGGATCCATCATCCGTCACTTTGGTGTGAGTTTCTTCAGCTATACTGATGGCACACAGCTCTACGTTAAGCTAGATGACCCAAACACTCTGACCATGTGTTAGCCATTCATGAATGGATGAGCCAGAACTTCCTCAAGCTAAATGAAGATAAGACTGAGATCCTCCTAGTTGGCCCAAAAAATAAAAAGGGATCAGGTTCTCACTAAATTGGGTCATCTGGCCACACGGAGATGACCTCAAGTAAGAAACCTCAGCATAATTTTAGCTTCTGATTTCGATTTTAAAGCTCATTTTAGTTCATTAACCAAAACTGTATTTTATCATTTATGCAATATAGCTAAGGTACGACCTCTACTGAGCCAGTGAGATGCTGAGAAGCTTGTTAATGCTCTTGTTTCCGGTTGTCTTGACTATTGTGATACTCTTTACACTGGCCTATTTAAAACTGCCATTGCAAAACCACAGAGCATTCAGACTGCTGCTGCTGCCAGGTTTTGACAAAAACTAAAAAGAGAGACCATGTAACTCCTGTTTTGCGTGACCATCACCAGCTCCCAGTATCTTTTAGAATTGATTTTTTAAAATCTTTTTTTTTTTTTTTTTTTTTTGGTTTTTAAGGCTCTTAATGGCCTTGCCCCCTTCTATATCACAGACTCCCTATCATTTTATGTCCCTCCACGAACCTTGAGATTCTCGACAGCTGCTCTTTTAACTGTTCCTAATGTCAGAAATGACAAAAACCTTTGGGGATGCTTCTTTTAGCTACTACGCCCCCAAAATACACCCCGCCTTTAAATATAAGACATGCTGGCTCAGTGGACAGTTTTAAATGAGGACTCAAAACATATCTTTTTAATAAAGCTTATAACTAGAAGTTATCTGTTTTAATATTTGTATATTTTTCTTAATTGATTGATTAATTCATGAATTATTTTTTCTAATTTCTCCTTGAACGGGTGTTGTGTAATTGTATGGTTTTATGTCTTTGCTGCTTGTATTTGCTGCTGAGTTGTAAAACATTTTGTGCTACATTCTATGCATGAAAGGTGCTATAGGAATAAAGTTCATTCATTCAGTACAAATACTGTTGATGAGTATGATTTAACTTCAGGGTGGGCAAAGGCCAACAAAACTAACCAAAACTAAATAGAACGGCAAAACATATAACCTGAAGACATTAAGAGAAACCAAATAACAGTCACTGATTTCCCTAACTGAGATAAACAGGGCATAACAATGTTTACAAAAGTGGACAGCCCACCTCTATTACCTCCAGAAAAACCAAAGACATCGGCATGGCAAAGGCTGCATGTTATCAAGGTTAGGATGCAGGTGGGGCCTCAGTTTGGGAGAAAAAGGAGATGAGTATTGCACCCTGAGCAGACCCAACGACATCTTGGCCAATCCAAACGGAGTTGATAATTTTACAGATAACTAGTGAACCAAGTGCCTCCTCGTCCCGGGACACATCTTTTTACTACTAACACTTTACTCTTTGTCTGTTCGAGAGAGACAACACTGGCAACAAAATATGGTCCTCACAAAGTTACTTGGGAGTTTCTCCCTCACATCATCATTGTGTACTTGTTTCCCATCACCAGAAAGGATGAGATTAGCACGTGCAGTATCTTGATCCGGCGTTATTTCCACTGCGAGCTCCTCCACACTCTTCAGCTCAGTCTTATTTTTCTCAGGTTCTCCTTTCTCACCACCAAAGTCACATGTGTTAAGGCTCAGTGGCTCATTGACAGGAGAGATAATGAGGGGGGCAGAGTTTACACCGCCGTCATTAGTGAAAGGACTGAAGTATGGGTAGAGCTTCTCAGTAAAGGAGCAGCCAGTGAAGGAGTAGAGAAGATCTGCAGAATCTACGTTATAGAAGGAGACCAGATCCTCTTCATAGTCCACAAACACTCCCACCTTCTGAAGAGGATGGTTCAGAGACAGTTGGACAGGATCATCATCATTGGCTTCGTATACATCTTCATTTGTCAACATTATGGTCCAGAAACCATTCTGTGGGCATGCTGCGATCTGGAGTTTCCTCTTGATCGACTGTTTGGCCACTCCCAAAGCCCAGGCAGTCTTTCCCTCAACCTGAACCTCGTAGTAAAATTTTCCTGAAGAGAAACTCTGCTTTCCTAAGACGTTCACAAAACTGTAAAATCTCTCAGGGTTGTTTGGTAATGTCTTTTTCACATCACTGTGGTGTACTTGTTTCCCATCATCAGAAAGAATGAGGTGAGGATTTGCTGTATCAGGATCCAGAGTCACATCCACTGCAAACTGCTGTATCCTTTTCAGCTCAGCCTTCTTTCTTTTGTATTCTGCCTTCTCATCACTGATGTCATGTGTCTTATGGCTCAGTGGGTGATTGACAGAAGAGATGATCAGAGGGGCAGAGTTTACACCACCATCATTAGTACAGGGACTGAAGAATGGGTAGAGTTTCCCAGTAAAATAGCAGCCAGTGAAGGAGTAGATAAGATCTGCAGAATCTACATCATAAAAGCAGACCAGACCCTCATCATAGTCCACAAACACTCCCACCTTCTGAAGATGTGACTTCAGAGACAGCTGGACAGGATCATCATCATTAGCTTCATACTCATTTTGATTCCTCAGCTTTATAGTCCAGAAGCCATTCTCAGGGTTTGTTGAGATCTGGACTTTCTTCTTGATTGCCTGATTGGCCACTCCCAAATCCCAAGCAGTCTTCCCTTTAACCTGAACCTCGTAGTAATATTTTCCTGAAGAGAGACTCGGCTTTCCTAAAATGCTTTCATATTTGGTAAATCTCTGGGGCTTGTCCGGTAGTTTGTTCCTCACATCACTGTGGTGTACTTGTTTCCCATCATCAGACAGGATGAGGTGAGGATGGGCTGTATCAGGATCCAGAGTCACGTCCACTACAAACTGTTGGACGCTCTTCAGCTCAGGCGCTTTTCTTTCAAGTTCTTTTTGGTCACCAGTGTCATTTGTCTCCTGATTGACAGGAGAGATGATCAAAGGGGCAGAGTTTACACCACCATCATTAGTACAGGGACTGAAGTATGGGTAGAGTTTCTCAGTAAAATAGCAGCCAGTGAAGGAGTGGAGGAGATCTGCAGAATCTACATCATAAAAGCAGACCAGACCCTCGTCAATGTCCACAAACACTCCCACCTTCTGAGGAGGCTGATTCAGAGACAGACAGACAGGATCATCATCAATAGCTTCATAGTCATTTTCATTTCTCAGCACGATAGTCCAGTAGCCATGCTGAGGGCTTGTTGTGATCTGGATTTTCCTTTTGATTGACTGCTCTGCCACCCCCAAGTCCCAGGCAGTCTTCCCTTTAACCTGAACCTCAAAGTAAAATTTTCCTGAAGCAAAACCTTGCTTCCCTAAGATGCTCACACATTTCTTAAATCTCTCAGGATTGTCAGGTAGTTTCTTCATCACATCACCATGACGCACTTGTTTCCCATCACGAGACAGGATGAGGTGAGGATTTGCTGTATCAGGATCCAGAGTCACATCCACTGCAAACTGCTGGGCGCTCTTCAGCTCAGCCTTCTTTTTTTCATGCTCTTCTTTTTGATCACCAGTGTCACGTGTCTCGAGGCTCAGTGGGTCATTGACAGAAGAGATGATCAGAGGGGCAGAGTTTATACCACCATCATTAGTACAGGGGCTGAAGAATGGGTAGAGTTTCTCAGTGAAGGAGCAGCCGCTGAAGAAGTAGAGAATATCTGCAGTATCCACGTCATAAAAGAAGACCAGACCCTCGTCATAGTTCACAAACACTCCCACCTTTTTAGGATTCTTTGTCAGAGAGAGAAGGACTGGCTCACCATCCATCGTCCCGTAGTCACATCCATTCCTCATCATGAGAGCCCAGTAGCCATTCTGTGGGCTTGCTGTAATCTGGACTTTCCTCTCAATCGACTCTTTGGCTACTCCCAAATCCCAGGCAGTCTTCCCCTCAACCTGAACCTGGAAGTAAAATTTTCCTGAAGAGAAACTCTGCTTTCCTAAGACGTTCACACATCTGTAAAATCTCTCAGGGTTGTTTGGCAGATTCCTCCTCACATCACCATGGCGTACTTGTTTCCTATTACCAGACAGGATGAGGTGAGGATTTGCTGTATCAGGATCCAGAGTCACATCCACTGCAAACTGCTGCACCCACTGGAGTTTGGGCTTCTCTCCCTTATACTCTTCTTTCTTAGCACCATCTAAAACAAGAGAGCAAGAGAGACACGCAGACATAAGTCATAATGTGAAACTTAAGAAACAAAGTTTTAACCTAATTATATCTTGCCTTCTTTCATGGTAGGTTACACCTGCTAAGCATGGACTGTGGAGTTTAAAAGAGAACACAGATGTATTTATCTTGCACTGAATTTCAGTTGGTTGGCCTCCCCTGAAAAATAGGACTGCAATGTGTTTGTTTGCGCAAAGGGCCACAGGTTGGAAGCAAACCCACGGCCACTGCAGCAAGGACTGAGTGTATATGGGGTGCCTGCTCTAACCACTAAGCCACTAATAGCTGAGCAAAGTTCTCAGATCTCCATCTCATCTTGCCTATGGCCTTGCCCATATGGTGGTGTACCATAGTAAATGGTAAATTAGTCTTTACCTTTTTTTAAAGCACATTTCTATTAATACAATGTTCATAATTCATGCAGTAATTATGAGATGAATGTGACACTTAACGTTCATATTTTTACTTTTCCACAACTTACTGTTGTGTCCCAAGGGGAGGTTTTGAAGATGCTGCTTCAGATCATTCCTGTGGATGTTTTCTAAAATCTTCAAGGTTACCTTCAGAGCTCCAGAACCTGGATATTTCTGTACCATTAGATCGACAGTGTGCTGCCTTTTTGCCTTCTCCAGCTGAGACACTGGGATGCCTGACAAGCCCTCCAGGAGCCCATCCTGCTCCAAGAACCACTTGAAATTCTCAAACTCCTCTTCTTTCAGGTCCTGCAGAGTTTTCCAGAGCTCCTCTTTAAGTTTCGCCATTATGGCTCCCTGCTGGAAATAAGGGACATTTTCAACTGGGGGAATGATAGACTAATCTCATTCCACTACACCAGTACAACTGTTTTAAATGTGCATCTTAAATTCAAATCATCTGCGACTTGACAAATGGATCACACACATTTGAATACTTCAAAGTTCAACTTTTTTTTTCTGACCCTTTGAACTGTTGTGAATCTTGTGATAATCCACACAAGAATTCAAGCTTAATATATTACATGATTTTAAATTCATTTGACCGACACTTAAGTCCAAAGTGACTGACTGTTACAGTTAGTGGATTTTAAACTCCTAACAAACAAGAAATAGATGTTATCAAAAAATGGAAGTGTAACTTCCAAATAAATAGCCATTAACAGGTATCAGATATTCAGAATAGAGGCTTTAGTAGCATGTTTCACATTTCCAATGCTGATCCAGGTTTTTATGACTGTCAGGCCGTAGGTGAGCGTCTGTCACCCTAGGTTTTGCAGAGTGTTCCGCACTCGTCGGTCCTTGTTGGGGGCTTTTCAGCTGATTTAGCATGTTGAATCAGCAGCGGAGACCGTCGGTGAGGAAAAAAACATTCTTATTTACCGCTCAGTGCACGAGTTAAGAAACAAAAGTGAGGTAAAACAAATTACTGAAGTCAAAAGGGAGTGAGATCGAAACCTGCCCACTGGTCTGAAGAGTTTTTTCTTCTCACTCAGGCGCAGACTGTATGTGTTAATCGGCCACTGGTTGTAGTCTTTAGCGTTTGTTCAAGTGCAACTTTTTGGCAGAGGGGATGTGAGACGACACAACAGTCCGCCACTATTATTTGATGTCGGCTTGATTTGTCTGGGCTCTTTCAGCACAGTTTACAGCAGTGGTGCCTGGCTGGTCCAGGTCATTAGTTTGAGGTCCCACAATTTAATACATTCAGCATCATACTTGCATTAGGCCATGTTGTTGAGCTAGTTTGCTGACTCTGTCAAGTAGCTGTCGGTTAGCCACACACTACAGCCAGAAATTTACTGTACTTAAAAGTGTGGGGGATTTTTTTCCACAAACTTTATATGTTTGACAGAATGACCCTGCAACCCACTTTTAGACTGCAACACACCAGTTGGGAACCACTGCTTTACAGTGAACAATAAACTATGAAAAACATTTTGATTTTTTTCCCTACATACCTCTGCAGGAGTTCATGGCAAGTCCGTCGATACCGCTGGATGCTGAAGGGAGCTGAGCAGTTCCCAATGAAAACCTGGGATGAAAGTAATAAAGATTAGATACTGCACTTCACCATGGTCAGCTGCTGGTCAGGAGCCGACAGCTAAGTTCCGCAGGGAAGATGCTTGTCAACGTTAGGATCAGAAGAACGGCCTCCTGTATCACCTATCTGCTGCTACAGTTGTTGATGAGGAGTACTCACCCTGTTTCCTCTGGTTGAGCTAAAAGCCAGGCAAGTTTATTTATGTTGCACATTTCATACACAAGTGCTTTAGGTAATGTAAAGTTAAACTGGAAATATAGCACAATAGCTGCTTCCTGTTTCCACACTTCCTGGAGTTTGCTTGGCCTCTTCCTGTAGGCTGAACGTTCCTGAAGGGAATCAACTGTGGTTCCATTTCACAGCAAGTATTTTGGCACTACAAGTGACATATCTCTGAAACTGTTTTAAGGCATTCCCTTCTTACTGTTTTCTTGTTCTGATCCTCCACAATACATTTTCTTGTCAAAAACATAAACAACATAAAAACTTCACACGCACATTATATAATATAAATAAAACGACGCACATTTAATAGGAATCTGAAACCCTGTTTCAAAGCTTCTGCTATCTAACAGCTGTCCGCCAAAAACACACTCTGGCAGCTCCACATGGTTTCATGCTCTTTTATGAAGTGCTCTGACAAACCTACTGGAAAACTACTCGTCTTCATTTCTTGACATGGCTTTTGTTTGGCTCAGAGAAAGCCCTTGGGTGTGTAGGGCCACCAGTGCTGCTCATTTTGTGGTCAAGTTGTGGCTCATGAGGAAAGCTAAATCCATCATGAAGGAGACTGACAGACGTGTAATGTTCACAGAGGCCAGAGTGAGTTGTTCACTTGTTCACTTCCTTTGCAGATGTTGCTTGAGGCAGCCACATGTTACTGCTGGCTTCAATCTAATGTCACCCGCTCCTTCACAGTTTATACAAGACATCATCTGTAAGTTTGGTTATTTGCCAAACCGTTTCAAACTTGACAACATGAACAATCTGAATGGGTCCCTTTTTATTTCCTTTTATTTTCTTAATGCAGTCACTGACAGGAAGTAAACAGGGACCAAAGCTGTTGCCCTAGCAACAGAGTAGCAATGAAACTGTCTGTAGGAATAAAAGTGACCTGGGTGCATCATCATTTATTTGATTATGTGTTTTGTTCGTCTTGTGTAAAGTAGCAATGGCTGGCTGAAGTTTTTGATATTTAGTGTTATTTAGTCGAAAGAGGACACTTAGCTCAACGGATGTTTGTGTGTAATATGTTAAGATTTTCCTAGTGACCCCTGATTGGTTGACACTGCACACCGACAGCAGCTAGGTCTGCACTCAAAATATGTAGCATCAGTGTGGAACGAGGACAGTAACAGGCAATCAAAAGGCGACCGCGCTTTTTCCATCAGGGCCCCTCGACTTTGGAACGACCTGCCTGAAGAGATAAGGCTTGCAACATCAGTAACATCTTTTAAATCTCTTCTTAAAACCCATTTTTATAGACTTGCCTTCTAGACTTTTTATTTATTCTCTTTGTTTCTTTTTATTTATTTTATTCTATTCCTTTTAATTGTTTATTCTTTGTTATTGTCATTATGCAATGTTGTCTTTTTATCCTTCTATTCGTTTGTTTCTAGTATTTAGAAATAATAGTTTTATTGCCTTTATTGTTATCTCTTTTAACATTCTGTCTTTATCATTCTGTCTTTATCATTCTGTCTGTGTTTTGCTTAACTTCACCTCAATTTTAGCTTAATTTTGTCGTGCTTTTGTTTGCCCTCACTGTTTTGACTCTCTGTTGCTATAGATATCCTGCATTTGCTTTGTTTGTCAAAGCACTTTGTAAACTTTTGTTTTTAAAAGTGCTATATAAATAAAGTTCTTATTATTATTTTATTATTATTATTATTATTATTATTATTATTATATATAAACTTAACAGCAGTCTGGTAGTTTAATTCGTTTTCTTGCTTGTGCGTGCCCGTTAAAGTAAACAGGAAATATAAAACAGCAGAATAACAACAGTAGATGTCGTATGGTGCAATGTTTGCAGCAGTGGAGGAAGTTTAAGTGAGTACTACTAACCGAATGATGTTCCACGTGTTGATAGTCCTGATATGTCATACCTGGGTGGGAACAAAAAGCAAACAGGATGGGACTGTCTTGCTGCCATGTTAACAAACAGCTCTGGGATGCTTTCACTCCGAGTGCTGCGGTTACACTCCTGTCAGAAGTCATTTTTACTTTGTAGGAGAGGTTTTCAGGCACAGCTTGTTAGCTGAATGAATCTATGCTTTGACTGGGTGCAGTCGACTTTATTCCAACATGCCAAGGCACGTTTTGTAAATCAATGTATTTCCGTAAAGAGTGACATCAATTACGTTGATGAATCACCCAGCCCCTATTTAGAGGGCTTGTTGGGACACATACACAAAATTGAAAGAGAATGCCACCATGCCTCCATGGTGAACGAAGAGTCCAAAAAGGGGAACATTGTTTATGAATTCAAATACGCGAGGACTGCGTTTAACGTTTACAAACAGCCTGTTAGAGGTGACCCGGGTACGTCCAGCTAGTAGGAGGCCCCGGGATGGACCCAGAACATATCTCATCTGGCCTGGGAACGCCTCAGGATCCTCCAGGAGGAGCCGTTGCTGGAGAGGGGGATGGATGCAAGTTTTCAAGCTCTCACGAAACTCATGCAGTATAATCCAAGTCTCATTTATCCAGTCGAATGCTCAGTGCATCCCAAACAGATGCATTTTTGCTAAAACAACACTTCCATTTAAGAGTAGTGCGTCCTTAACGTGCCTGAGCATGCGCATGCTAGGGCTGTACATTTTATCGAATATTAATCATGATCAAGATTTTGGCTTCCCACAATTAAATGACCGCGGTATCAAAGTTTAAAATGCTGCTCCACTCACAGGAAACTCCTCTGCATGTTAAAAACAAGCACTTCATTAAAGGCAAGCCTCCACGTTTGAAGAGCTGTCATGGCGCTACGAGTGCACTCTACAGCAGCAGCCTCTGACAAACGTTCCTAAATGTTGCCACCACAGACGTGCAACGCAAATTCTTTGAAGTTTTGGATTTAGGAGAACACAAATAACATGCAAAGAGTGCATGACACTTGTTATACCACCTGAAAATAACCCACAATCTGCAGCACAATGAATGCATGAAGGCTGAGATGAATAATGTCTTAATAATGTCTGTCCTTGTCCAGCATCAAATCAGACATCCATGACAGCAACGCCACAATACATCATGGTACTGTGACTGCTGTTAAAAAATAAAACAAAAAAAACAGCAGCAGGTGTATCCATAGATCCATAGGAGATGCAGTGAATTCAGGTGAGCAGGACTCTTATTTTGAAGTCTTAGTTGATGTGAAATTTAGAACATTAGCCGGAATGTAGCGCAACATCAAAGTGAAAGCAGTGCTGTGTTTATTTAAGTGTGAAAGTGCAATAAAAAAAGAATGAACACATTGAGAAATTCATGTACAAATGATCATTTTGCGGTTGAAGTATTTAAGAGGAAGAGAGAAAGGGAGGGAGGCATACAAGAGGAAGTTTTCTTGGTTGTGATTAGAATTCGTTTTTCAGTTATCTTTTTTTAGGGCCACAGTATTCACATAACATTGCCGCACAAGCCAGTTGGACCAACCACTGTTGTTTAACTTAAACAGACACAGTGTAGATATGTGACCGGGTCAATCTGCCAAGTGTCTGCTCTTTGCTTATGTGGGAGTTTTAAAGGCATCTGGAAGGTATGTCAGGTCAGAGCTGGAGAATGTTGGCGCCTCTCAGAGGGCTCGGGAGATTTATGATGGCATAGCCTGATATAGCGCAGGTCCTAATGACAGGCCGAGACATTATTTACCACGAAAACTTTTTTTTTTTTTTTTTTACATTTTCATGTATGTTGAAAAGTAAAAGTAACCCACTGTAACCACACCCTGCTCTTATCTACACAAAACCAGCAGCTGCTGTGTACACGCTTTAACATGTCATGCAGAATCTTTCTCTGCTTCAACCTGAAGTCTGTTGCTGTGGCACAGCTTCTGCTGAGAACCGTTAAAACCTCACACGGTAGTATATCATTAACCAGTTTTCCAGGCTGGGGTGAGAAGGTGGTCTGCAGGACCCCACACAGACCGCCATTTCCCCGAAATACAAAGTAGACGACAGAGACAATGATGAGGTAAACCCCTTAAAAACCCACCAGAAACTAGACATCTAATATCCATTACAAAAATGTGCCACAGAGAAAACAGTTGTTAGAAACTCACCCAGCCAAATTCAGCACAGATTTCTTCAGATTTAGAAAGATGATCAACACGTGTAAATTATTCTTTATCAGTCTTGGTGATTCATGCGAAAATGACCTCATAAGGCTATGAGCTTCAGCCAATGGTTACCGTCCTGGCTCTCTCCGCTCAACTTCTTGTTTAGCAGAGTGAGTGAGTGAGTCTCCACCCAACCCCCCCCCCCCCCCCCCCCCCCCCCCCCCCCCCCCCGAAAAGCTGCTGCACGTGACTTTTTTTTTTTTTATCTTTTGACTGTGCACAGGAGGCCCAATGCTCACAGTGTCAGACCAGCTCCAAAAAGATACAGAGGCCAAACACACAGTGTAGAGAATACAGCAGGATTTCAAAAATGACATTGACTTCTCCATCTGAACATACACCACTGCTCAAAGGTTCTCCTGACACTAAAGCTGGACTGGGTCCAGTCAGAGGAGGGAGAGGACGACTCTGTGTGTTTGAATGGTCTTTAATTCTTCTAGTTTGCAGAAAGTCGTCGTTACAAATAGATCTTCAAACTTCACAACAGACACAGCAGGTTAGTCCAGGATGAGCACTGTTGGAATATCAGCTGAACATAATATGGGCTGACAAATCATAGTTCAAACATATTCAATCTAACCAGAGGGCCCAGTAAAAAATGCACTAAGTCAGTATTATATATAATATATATAATATATATTATATAAGGCAGTTCGGTCTGTTTTGTTTTGGTGTGTATATCCGACCCAGCCTTGCAAACTGTTGGTGAGCTGGTTTGTGTACATCATGTACATGACATTGCACAGAGCTGATTGAAAACAGACGAGACCCTGCATCACAAACTACTTTAAAAACTCTAATTAAGGTAAATATTCCAATTGTGCTTTATACATGTTTAACAGAATGCTATCGGCCTATCCCACCTGCACTAATCAGAAAATGCAAAATTGTGATTACAACAGAAATGAACAGGTATAAAGTTTGGCTGTTTCCACCTCTTGATGTGTATAACTTTTAAACTTGCTCAACAAGTGTAACCAAAAGTACTCCCCTGTGTATGCTGAGGTTATTTAGAGAGATAAGAGAAGTTTCAATTGTCTTCAGACACAAACCACAGTTAGTCCTGATTGAAGCTTTGCCAGCTCTCTGAGCTACTTTGTCTGAAAATCGTGGCGCTGAACGACTTTCTCGTCTTCATTTTCTCTACAGGTTCTTTTCAATGGTTCATCGTCTCTGTAATCTGCTTAGACTTGTTAATATTTGACATCAAATGATTTCGCCCGCACAGACTGTTTATATCAATCCCATATCTAGCAATAAATTTTTTATGATTGTGTTTGTCAAGATCTTGAATATGAAACTGTTATGCCTTTTTTATTGTATACGTTATCTATTAACTGTGATGCTGTGGTTAACAATGGGCACAGCTTGAATCATACCCTGGTCTAAAGCCACGTCCTGTGGAGATCACTGAATTACTGCAGTGTAAATGACAATGAGCAGGCAAAATGTCATGTCAGTCTAACATTTCTTTTATTTAGCAATGCTCAGGCAATAAAAACAACCAATACATTACATTCAATTGATTATTTGATAGTTAGTTCGCAATGCAAAACTGGATCCACATTAGTGACATGTTGGAGTTGCAAAATGAATTCTCTTGTTTTTCAACACAACTTAAATCAAAAGCCTGTCTTCCTGCTGTGTACATTTATTACCAAACAAACATCACCATCAGCCCCTGTATCAGTCAATCAATTAATCAATCCATCCATCAATCAGCCTAATTTTATTTAATACACATTTACATCCATGTACAAGTCTGAAAGCTAAAATAAAGATGGCATTTCTCACTCAGTTTTTGGTGTTTCCACTGTTCAACTTTATATTTCAATTTACTGATAGGTAGGGGAACAGTGGTTTATATTTAGAGCACATACTGGTCGTGTAGACAGGTCAAAGTTGTGCTCCAGTAGTAAAAGTAGTAAATGAATACAGAGCACATAAAAAGAAAGCGAAGCAATACAGAAATTAACCAGAATTTGTGATTAAAATAAGTCATCAGCATCAGGATTGTGTTTATTCACTTTGATGTTTGCTACACAACAATAAACATAGTAAGAGAAAAGAAAAGGTAAAATCAAACATTGCAGCAGTCAGAAGCATGAAAAAATAATAAAATTTGAAAAAAATATCAAAAATAAAACAATAATACATTTTTCAAAAAATACCCAAAATATATAATGTATCTTTTTAAAAAATCAAGAGCTGTACAGTTTTTACCACAGATTAAATTTATAAGGCCCCTCCCAGCCGTGGTACATCCCAAGAGGTGTTTTCATTTGAACTTTTGCTATATGAGACTTCGTCTTAGGTCTGTCTTATTTAATTAACATCTTTCTTACTCTTGTGTTGCACCTATTGAAGTAGAAGAAAAACTGTTTTTCTTGAAGCATTGCTTCGTTACCATACATGACTACCACCAACTGTGGATATGGGAAATCATCAGAAATCCAAGGATGTCATACTGTATAGCCCCTTTTGCATTTGATAGACATGGCAAGCAGACTCAACTTTGGATACCCACACCTGAGGGGATCCGAGGGGATCCGACGGGACCCAACAGGAGCCAACAGGGTCCAATGGGACAGCTGGACTGGATTTGGACGTCCTCACTGTGTTGTCTTTCAGTTTGTTTTAAGAGAGACACAAGAAAATGGACACAGCGCTGAAAGGAGAGCTGGCTGTGTGTTTCAGCAGCAGCACCAGAGTGGAGCCTTTCCCTTACAGTAACTGTGTGGGGCTCGAGTGAGGTTTGGACATAGAAAACAGAACGCTTGTCGGGTTCAGGTCAGGCTCGGTTACTACTCTCTCTGGCTCGGGTCCAGTTTGGGTTGCAGCCTGAGCTGCAGTCTAGTGCGTCCATCTGTGCCTTTGTACTAATGGACTACAAGATACTCCAAAGTCAGACCTTCTCTTCAAAATGTAGTATCAGAACAATTTAAAACCTTTACAATGTGCTTTAAGATGAGACAATATAGACATTTATTATTCTTATATCTGCTGTATGTTCGGCTCAGTGACTTGCTGTGATTTGCAGCTTAACTCTGGCCAAGCTGAGCAGAACTCCAACTAGAATAACTGAAACACCTGCAAGTGTGATTAAACACTGTGCCTAACAGGACAAATGATCAGAGGGGCAGAGTTTGTACCATTGTCATTAGTACAGGGACTGAAGTATGGAAGGAGTTTCTCAGTGAAGGAGCAGCTTGTAAAGGAGTAAAGAAGATCTGCGGCATCTACATCATAGAAGGAGACCAGACCTTCGTCATAGTCTACAAACACTCCCACCTTCTGAGGATTAGACTTCAGGGAGAGACGCACTGACGGGTTATCATTAGCTTCATACCTGTTGCCATCCCTCAACCACATGGTCCAGAAACCGCCTTCAGGACTCACTGTAATACTTTCTTTCCTTTCCATGGACTCCTTGGCGACTCCCACAGTCCAGGCAGTCTTCCCTTTAACCTGAACCTCGTAGTAAAATCTTCCTGAGGAGAAACTCTGCTTTCCTAAGACGTTCACACAAATGTAAAATCTATAAGGGTTGTCTGGTAGTTTCTTCCTAACATCACCATGATGTACTTGTTTCCCATCATCGGACAGGATGAGATTAGGATGGGCTGTATCAGGATCCAGAGTCACATCCACTGCAAACTGTTGGACGCTCATCAGCTCAGCCTTCTTTCTTTCATGTTCTTCCTGATCACTGAAGTCAATGACAGGACAAATGATCAAGGGGGCAGAATTTGTACCAAAATCATAAGTACAGGGACTGAAGAATGGGTAGAGTTTCTCAGTGAAGGAGCAGCCGGTAAAACAGTAGAGAAGATCTGCGGAATCTACATCATAAAAGCAGACCAGACCCTCATCATAGTCCACAAACACTCCCACCTTCTGAGGAGGCTGATTCAGAGAGAGGAAAACAAGATCGTCATCAATTGCTCCGTAGTCATCTCCATCTCTCAACATTATAGTCCAGAAACCATTTTCTGGGCTTGTTGTGATGTGGGCTTTCCTCTGGATTGACTCTTTGGCCACTCCCAAATCCCAGGCAGTCTTCCCTTTAACCTGAACCTCAAAGTAAAATTTTCCAGATGAGAAACTTTGTTTTCCTAAGATGTTCACACATTTCGTAAACCTTTTAGGGTTGTTTGGGAGTTTCTTAAATACATCACCACAGCTGACTTGCTTTCTATCATGACAGAGGATGAGAGCAGGATGGGCTGTATCAGGATCCAGAGTCACCTCCACTGCAAACTGTTGGACGCTCTTCAGCTCAGGCGCTTTTCTTTCGTAGTCTTCCTTCTGATCACTTAAGTCATGTGTCTTAAGGCTTGGTGGGTGATTGACAGGAGAGATGATCAAAGGGGCAGAGTTTAAACCACCATCATTAGTACAGGGACTGAAGAATGGGTAGAGTTTCTCAGTGAAGGAGCAGCCAGTGAAGGAGTAGAGAAGATCTGCAGCGTCTACATCATAAAAGCAGACCAGATCCTTGTCATAGTCCACAAACACTCCCACCTTCTGAGGATGGTGATTCAGAGGGAGATCAACTAAAGGGTCATCAATCGCCATGTAATCATCTTCATTCTCTAAATGAATAGTCCAGAAACCATATTTAGGATCCAGTGTGATACCTCTCTTCCTTTCGATCGACTCCTTGGCGACTCCTATAGTCCAGGCAGTCTTCCCTTTAACCTGAACCTCAAAGTAAAATTTTCCTGAAGAGAAACTCTGCTTTCCTAAGACGTTCACACATCTGTGAAATCTCTCAGGGTTGTTTGGGAGTTTCTTCCTCACGTCACCATGGCGTACTTGTTTCCCATCAGCAGACAGGATGAGGTGAGGATGTGCTGTATCAGGATCCAGAGTCACATCCACTGCAAACTGCTGCACCCACTGGAGCTTGGGCTTCTCTCCCTTATACTCTTCTTTCTTAGCAACATCTAAAACAAGACAGAGAACAAACAGACACACAGACTTATTAATAAGATGTTAAATAAAGGTCTGACCTCAGACCTTATACTTGTGTCATGGTAAGCCACAACACTAAGCATATATTTTAGAGTTCAAAAAAGGAAGGGGGGCTGAAGCAACTTCAGGAAAATGCGACCCTTGTGGTAAAGAAGCAAAACAGTCACCTCATGTCTTGGATCATTTTTTGTGAAACCTATTTACAGTTAATTCACACCAAAATGCAACAGCTGGGGAATTTGGATGCTTGGTCTGCAACAGTGTTTGAGTGGGTGGAACATGTCAGGTGGCGTCCACATGAATGCCAGAACCAAAGGTTTCCCAGCAGAACATTGTATTGGATCAAAATAATTAGTTATTCACTTCCTCTGTCAGTGGTTTTAAACGGATAGTGCACCCAAAAATGAAAATTCAGCCATTATCTACTCACCCATATGCCGACAGAGGCCCTGGTGAAGTTATAGAGTCCTCACATCACTTGCGGAGATCGGCGGGGGGAGCAGCCAGCACACCTAATGGCTGACGGCGCCCCAGACTAACGTCCAAGAACACGAAATTGAATCCACAAAGTATCTCCATACTGCTCGTCCGTAGTGATCCAAGTGTGCTGAAGCCGCGACATAAAAAGTTATTTCGAAAAACGTCATATGAACTCAGTTTTTAGCCTCACTGTAGCCTGTAGCTCTGACTGCTTCTCTGTGCTCCGCATTCACGTGTGTGTGCCTGCGCGAGACCAGCGAAAGCATGAGCTTTGCTCACCCGTGTTTACATCACGTGACATATGCACCGCACGGGGAGACAACGGTAACCACAGTAGCTAAAAGATCATTTGCACTAAGGTCTTTTAGCAAAGGACAGCCCAACATGTCTGAAGACTTTGAAATTGAGGGAGAACAGCATTTCTTTGTTGAGCCGTATTTGTTTGAGCCTGAGTATACGGACGGAACTCAGGCTACTGGACGAAGCAGCCGCCGCAGCTCATGAGCCTAACCCTCAGCCAGCCGCAGAATACCAGAGTCGAGCACTGGAAACCTGGTGGTGTAGTTGTTTCAAATGCAAAGCAATGCCAACGGATGAGGAAAGTCTTTGCTGCTCAGACTGGGAATTGGCGATGCCTGCACTTGAGAATCTGGACATCAGTACTGACGAGACTGCTGCTCTTCAGAGACCGTGCATCACCGATCACCCTGAGCGCGCACGTCAACGCGGAGCACAGAAGCAGTCAGAGCTACAGGCTACAGTGAGGCTAAAAACAGAGTTCACATGACATTTTCCAAACAACTTTTTATGTCGCAGCTGCAGCACACTTGGATCATTACGGATGAGCAGTATGGAGATACTTTGTGGATTCAGTTTTGTGTTGGACATTAGTGTGGGGCGCCGTATGCCATTAGGTGTGCTGGCCGCTGCCCCCGCCGATCTCTGCAAGTGATGTGAGGACTCTAAAACTTCACCAGGGCCTCCGTCGGCATATGGGTGAGTTGATAATGGCTGAATTTTCATTTTTGGGTGCACTATCCCTTTAAGGATGTGGCTGATCGGTGTTTGTTGAACACTCGGATGAAGAGAGGAGCAGAGTTGTCAGAGTGATCACCATCTCGTGTTACCTATGGTCATGACCATATGGTGGTGTACCATAATAAATGATAACTTAATCTTTACATTTTTTGTTAATATACTTCTTCTGACAGAATGTTCATAACTCATGCAATAATTTATAAGATGAATGTGACACTTCTGCGTATCAGAACTTTACCCCAACTTACATTTTGGTCCTAAGCAGAGGTTTTGAAGGCGCTGCACCAGATCATTCCTGTGGATGTTTTCTAAAATCTTCAAGGTTACCTTCAGAGCTCCAGGACCTGGATATTTCTGTACCATTAGATCCACCGTGTCCTGCCTTTTTGCCTTCTCCAGCTGAGCCACTGGGATGCCTGACAAGCCCTCCAAGATTCCATCATCCTTGAGAAACCACTTGAAATTCTCAAACTCCTCTTCTTTCAGGTCCCGCAGGGTTTTCCAGAGCTCTTCTTTCAGTTTTGCCATTATGGCTTCCTCTTTAAATAAAACAGAAAGTTTATATCAGAGAGTATACACTATTTTTTATGGAATTATTTATTTATTTCATCCATTCAGTCTTTTTTAACTTGTGACAATCCACACATTCAAGTTAAATACATTAAATTTGATCAGCAGACACTTTTGTCCAAAGCAACTTACAGTTCATGGGCTCAAAGGAACCGGAGCCAGATGTCATCAAAAATGGAGTTCATCAATGGTCAGTCTATAACGTTGGATGCTGTGATGAGCAGTTAAGCCTGTGAAAACATTAAAGTTATAATGATTAGATGCTGCACATTACCATCTTCATTTCTGGGCCCAGTTCAAAAAATTTTAACTGGATCGTTCTGATCCAGATCTGGAAATCCCATGTTTTGCTGTCCAGGATAAGATGATCCATCTTACTTATGTGCCAGTTTTTCAAAGCAACATTGGACTGGATCACCCTGATCCAGATATGAACTTTTAAAGATTACCAAAATCCAGTTAACCAGTACTCTAAATGGGACTACACATCACTGTGTAGGCAGTCTGCCAACTAACACAATGCAGTTATCACTTATTGCCACTGGTGCTGCCAAAGAGAAGGTAACGGAGATCTTTGAGATTATATGTTTAAATAATTTTATTTTATTTTGATGGTTATTTGGTTATTTTATGGGGCCAACATCCTTTTTTCCTAATTAACAGTAGTAGTAATAGGCACTACTTTATCAAAGAAACTGTTCAACAAATGAAGTGTAAAATATAAATAAATGTATTTGACCAATTTAAAAAGTTTATTACTTTTTGTCCCTGAAATCCAGCCTGAATCCAGCTCCCTGCTGGGATCAGGATAATCCTGATTTTTTGGGGGGGGGGGGATCAAAGGTATCCCAATCCTACACAAAGTTTTGAACAATACATACCAAATGTTTGATTCAGATCAAATCTAAGGGCCCGTTTATACGACAACGATTTCAACCAAAAATGGTGAACTTAAGTTGCGTTTTGGCATTGTTCACATGACGGCGGCATTTTGGGTGCCTGAAAACACAATGTTTTGAGAACGCATTCCAGAGTGCAATTTTTGGAAACAGCACCATTTCCGTTGTCATGTAAACTCACAATATGCAGTTCCTCTGAAAACGGAGACTTTTCGCACATGCGCATCACGGTTTCAGTCACGAGGCATGCGCGGGGTATCGACCATCACAACAACAATGGCGGACTCCCGAGCTCTGTTTGTGCTGCTCACCTTGTTGAATTTATCAACACTTCTCCAGCAAAGTGTAGATTTACTGTAGCAACTGGGGATGCACCGAATATTTGGTAACCGAATATATTCGGCCAAATATTGCAAAAAAACACACACATTCGGTATTCGGTGGAATAAGTTAAAAGCAAGGCCGAATAATAGCGGCGTGTTTTGATAATGCAATCAAACAGCGTGCCTAGACGGGTGGAGTAAAATGTCGGCAGTGTGGCAATCCGTCCGTCACCACACTCGCATTTGCGACTAAAAATAGTTTTGAGCGAGCAAAATAGGCTTAAATCATTCAGCACGCTGTGCGAGCAGCCTACAGATTTCAACCACCAACAGAAATGAAAGGCGAATCCCACCGGTTGTGGGTTGAACAGGGGTCACAGACACAGACAGTAATGTATTCCTGTCAAATATGGCGGCCATCGGCTTACCGGCGACGGAGAAGTCGGCTCCAATGATATCCTCTTCTTGGCGTCTTGACTGCCCAGAAGTACCTGAACAGCCGAGCCAGCCGAACACAGGTATGTGACGTGTCAGAGGAGAAATGAGCCGTTCACATTTCTCTCTTTGTGGCAGGTAACGGCCCACAAACCTCACCGCACTTTAGGGACTGTTCTTTACTTATGAAGGGACTGTTCTTTACTTGTCAGGGGAGGAGGGTGGCTGGTTGATTCTTATTTTATTTATTTTATTTTATTTTCCCCCCTATGTTAATCACTTATTGATGCTGTTTTTGAAGTATGAATAAGTCAATAAGTAATTTATTCCATTGAAATATCATTGATGTATTATAGAAAAGTGATTTATCTTTTTATAAATGACAAAAGGCACATCTGCCTCATTTTTGCTGTGGTATCATGATACTACTCAGAACCGTGATACTTTAATTGGTATCGTACCGTGGGTCCCAATTTTGGTACCGTGACAACACTAATCTGGAGGGGGTTCATCTGCAGAAACTAATGAAAAACTAAACAACGATATTCGGTATTCGGTGCTCGGTATTCGGCCAAGCGTTTAATATTATTCGGCTTCGGCCACAAATTTTCATTTCGGTGCATCCCTAGTAGCAACTCCACCTCGTCGTCCATCCAAACATTAGTGCAGTTGCCATTTTGTTTGTTTATACATCACCACTCTGCAGAACAACGAAGCGTATGTGTCGTTTCATTACAAAGTCATACCGCCAACTACTGGCCTGGCATGTATACTGCAGCGTTTTTGGTAATTTTTGTAGATCCGTGTGCACAGCGATTGTTATCAAAATGTTGTCTGAACTCAGACCTTTTTTGAAAACAAAAATGAGAAATGATTAGGTTTTTCGTGTAAACATGTCCTACGACTGAATTAAATGATCTCCTCCAATTTCAGAATCCTTTTTTTCTTTTGAACAATCGATTTTCGAGATTTGAACCAATCCGATAACTGAAATCAGATTACCTCCAAACAACTAGGCCCTGGATATTTAACTGAGAGGTTACTGTTATGAAACTTGTGATAATCTACATGTTCAAGTTAAGTACATTAAATTCATTTGGCAGACATTTTGTCTAAAGCAGTGTACAATGAGTGGATTCAGACTCTAAAGAAACAAGAACTACATATCAAAAATGAAACTCATGAATGATCAGTCGATAACGGCAGACGTTGAAGGGAGCAGGTAAACCTTTGAAAAGCAGAAATGAGGTAATAATGATAAGGCACTGCACACCACTATTTTCACTCCTGGGCCCAGTATTTCAAAACTTGTAATCTGGATCAGAATAATCCGGATAATGAAATACTTCACGAAAGGAACAGTTGGTACCACAGCTTTCACATCAAAATGTAAGTTTACCGTCACCTAATGTGTAGCGTTTTTAAGACCATACGAAGGCCACCCACCATCTCATGTGAGCCAGCTATTTGAATTGTCACCTATTTAAAACGTGGGCGTACCAATTTCTAATTGAGCCGAGGTCATGCTAACGGTAGCTAGTGCGGCTCCATTGACTTGCATGTTAAGTAGCTAGCAGGCTAGCGAGGTGGCTGGCTTTGTTGATGTATTTTGCGCTCTATGGTTTAATTTAAAAGGGAATTAATCTGAAGTACGTCATACATGAACTCTTTAAACACCAACCTGTTCAAAGTTTAACGTTATGTTATTGCCAACACAGCGGACTGTTTTAAAAAATTTTTTTTACATGTGTGCAGAGTGGACTGTATAGGAAAAATACACAGTACTAGTATGAATTATGCAGTTCATTCAGAAGTGTCAGAGGATTGCGTTTGGGTATGCTACAGTAATGCTGGTGATATGCTTTTCTGTACTTAAACAATGTCTGTGACTATTGTGGATTCCTGACAGAGAATGGAGACTGAGAGGGCGGTGAGACAAATTGAACTGGCTGATGAGCAGCTCAAGCTGATGCTGCTTCAGCAGAGAGAGACAGAATTGAAGATAAAACTTCTGGAAAAGAAGCTCACCTCAGACCTGTGAGCAGTCTTTAGGTTCTGTGACTATATTTTGATTTACATTTTGTTTCTAATTGCTTTTTTAATACTTTGTTTGAATAGCCATGTGCTTATTATGTCAATCCCTGTGTTGTTTCTTGTACTCTGTGTAAAGAAAAGAATGTGCTATACAAATAAATTTGCTTTGCATTGCATTTAGTTACAATGTTAGGTGAAACTAGATGTTGAGAAATAGGTCTGTATTTGTTCCTCTTATTTACAGCAGTTTCAGGAAGTATAGCCAAACAATATTTTTCTATGCTTGAAATTACTTACAACTAAAACACTAATTCAGATTAAGTGTAATGAACAACTTGAGTAACAATATCTAGGAGAAGTGGAGCTGAGGCTTTGTCAAATCCACCTCTGAGGTGGGATCCAAATAATCCTGAAATTTGGTATCAAATTGATCCAGATCTCTGCCTTAACTTTTGAAATACCTAATTGCAGCCTTTATCTGGATTAAAGGGAGGATTGGATTACCAGAATTGAATCCTGATCCTCAGGATCCTTTTGATCTGTGTTGAAATACCCAGTTTTCAGATCAGATCAGGATTTAATCCAATCCGGCCAGGATAATCCTATCAGATCACTTTGAAATACTGGGCCGTGGATATTAAACTGGCCGTCAGAGAGCACATTCGGTATTCACCGTTTCCCTCAGAGACAGTTTGGCACAGACGATGCTCTATTCAATTGAAAGCATTCACAAATCATTGCATTGTTTTCTTTAATGTTTTTTTTACAGCGTCCCAACTTTGTGGAATCAGACTTGTATGATGACACAGTCTGATACCTACTGCAGGGCAGAACGATAGGTCAAGACCATATTTATCATGACAACTGGGCTTCCACTGACACACTAACACAACTTTTGTCACATTTTAATGTGTGTTTAAAAGTGAAAGTAACCAACTACAACCACAACATGCTCTAACTTACTGGAAACAAGCAGCTGATGTGTAAACGTTTCAACATGACATAGCATCCCTGTTTGATGAGAACCATGAAAAACTAACACAATATTATAGAAGTTTTTGGGTCAGGGATGATTTTACACTGCTGATTGTAGGGCAGAAATAAACCAAAGAATGTCATCTTCCCAAAATATGACGTAGACGGCAGAGACAATGAGTAAGTATACACCTAAAAAAAAACACCAGAAACTAGACATCTAATATTTATTAAAAAAATGTAGCAAAGGAAAACAGGTTATCAAAAACTCACCCAGCTGAAGTCATCAGAATCCTTCAGCTTTAGAAAGATGAACAACACATCGAGAATTTTCTAACAGTTTCAGTAAACCGTGGCCTTATAAGGTTATAAGCCTCAGTTTATGAGAGAGCGTTCATCTGGGCCTCAGCTCTCTTAGCCCAACTTCCTGTTTGTCACTTAGCCGAGTGAGTGAGTCTCCACCTCCCCCCTTGAAGAACTCGCTCACATCAGCAACATGTGACCATTTTTTATCTTTTGACTGTGCACAGGAGGCCCAATGCTCACAGCGTCAGACCAGCTCCAAAAAGATACAGAGGTCAAACACACAGTGTAGAGAATACAGCAGGATTTCAAAATGACATCGATTTCTCCATCTGAACATACACCACTGCTCAAAGGTTCTCCTGACACTAAAGCTGGACTGGGTCCAGTCAGAGGAGGGAGAGGACGACTCTGTGTGTTTGAATGGTCTTCAATTCTTCTAGTTTGCAGAAAGTCGTCGTTACAAATAGATCTTCAAACTTCACAACAGACACAGCAGGTTAGTCCAGGATGAGCACTGTTGGAATATCAGCTGAACATAATATGGGCTGACAAATCATAGTTCAAACATATTCAATCTAACCAGAGGGCCCAGTGAAAAATGCACTAAGTCAGTATTATATATAATATATATAATATATATTATATAAGGCAGTTCGGTCTGTTTTGTTTTGGCGTGTATATCCGACCCAGCCTTGCAAACTGTTGGTGAGCTGGTTTGTGTACATCATGTACATGACATTGCACAGAGCTGATTGAAAACAGACAAGAGACCCTGCATCACAAACTACTTTAAAAACTCTAATTAAGGTAAATATTCCAATTGTGCTTTATACATGTTTGACAGAATGCTATCGGCCTATCCCACCTGCACTAATCAGAAAATGCAAAATTGTGATTACAACAGAAATGAACAGGTATAAAGTTTGGCTGTTTCCACCTCTTGATGTACAGTACAGGCCAAAAGTTTGGACACACCTTCTCATTCAATGCGTTTTCTTTATTTTCATGACTATTTACATTGTAGATTCTCACTGAAGGCATCAAAACTATGAATGAACACATGTGGAGTTATGTACTTAACAAAAAAAGGTGAAATAACTGAAAACATGTTTTATATTCTAGTTTCTTCAAAATAGCCACCCTTTGCTCTGATTACTGCTTTGCACACTCTTGGCATTCTCTCCATGAGCTTCAAGAGGTAGTCACCTGAAATGGTTT